TATATTGGAATGAATGTATAACAGTATAAGGGAATACATCTCATATGACTCTCCGACAAAATTCCTAGCTCTGATCAAGATTCCGAATATTTTTTACTTCATTCTGTCACAATGCATGTAGGAGAACAGTGTGCGACATAAATTAGCACGTTTTTGATCCTCGTTAAAATATATATGATGTAATGTTAAGATCTTCAATATACATTTCACATGTCTTTAATCACAAACACAGGCATAAAGTGCCTTGCATATTCTCCTATCTCTTTCCCAATATGATTGTAAACCTAGAGGGGGGTCATTTATTATGCTTTTACATTATTTTTTTTACTTCGCTTAATAGAGCTTTCACTAACATTTAACCTTTACTCTATTAAAACATGGAAGAATTCCTTTTAACAAGAGAACCCCTTGATATTGTCAGAATCTCTACAGCATTATTTGTACGAGTAGAGCAGGACGAATGGACAGGCGTTCTCAAAAAAGAGGTAAAGAACTTTGAAAATATTCTGAAGCGAGTATTAAAACAAGTCTCCTCAGAGGATATTGAGCGGATAAAGAAGCTTCGAGGTTTTGGTACTGGAAAAAAATTAGCGAAACGGGTAAGGACAATAAACTATTTTCATAAAGAATAGGTGGATATGATGTATTTTTTAGGTTTTCTTGCATATGTATATATTAGTGAATGCGCTGTGTCCGTTGTGATGCTATCACTTCTGCATGGCAGTAACTAATTATATATATGCCCAGCGAGCGCGCATTTTGGCTGACTTACTGCTAGCATTTTGATATTTTTTTTATGAAAACGAAAACCTAATCTGATCCTGCGCAGGGTATATTTATTTTAATTTATCAAAATAACATTAAGCCTAAGTTAAGTTAACTATATTTAGGTGGCAACTGCATTCGAAGATTTATGCTCCCTCACAGGGATGAAAGCTCTGGTGATTGATGTCGAAACATGGCCTGATTATGCGAACGCAAATTTAGAGCTTTTAATACGTGATGTCGATCAACTCAAAAGTAAAAGTATCGGCTATGAAAAAACTATGTGGGAGAGGATTGGAACGGAATTAGAGAAAGTAGATGTCGAAAGTCTTGGATTCGATCATCCAATATGTTCTGGAGTCCTTGATATCAAATCGGAACCTTTCACAAAGATGCCTGGGTCATTTTGCGATATTTTTAAGGAACCTTTCGAGAAATACAAGCTAGATCATAATGATATAATAATGGATACTTGTAGAGAAATAATTCATAATGAGGAGTCGAAGATAAATTTGGATGGAGATTTGAGTAATGTTGAATTTGGGAAATGGCTAGATAGTTCTGAGAGGCTTCAAGAAATGGCAAGACGGATACTAGAATCTTTGTAAGTTCGCTTAAGTTTTACCCCTACTTTTTTATATATGTTAGCTTACAGCATAATGAAAATATGCGGGATCTTTATAGGTTTAAAGTCTGGAAGTCACCTAAGTATGAAGCCTATACAAAGAAAGGGAAATCAGTTAACGAAGGGTCGTATGTCTGTGAAGTACTTGCGCCATTAATAAATATAGTAATGAGTGAATTGCCTGGAAATCCTGCTGTATGGGAAATATGACAAGTACTACTTCTAGTATTAGCTATGTAATGATCTTGTAGAGCTGTTTTTTTTTCTTATTTAATGATTTTTCTTAAATAGGGGTGAAGAGGGAAGTTTGGCTAGCACTATATGAAAAGGATCTCATAAATATGCACAGAAACCTGATTACATGACTGTAGTCCAACTAAAGAAAGGTGTGAAGCTTGAAATTGTATATCTCGAAACTGGCAGATCAGATTCCAGTCAAGACAAGTGCCAGCAAGACCATAAAAAATTAATCCAATTTTCTAAAGATTCTATCGACTCTACCAGAAAAATATCAAAGCTTAAGAGAGTATTTAATATTTCATCTAAGAGGCGGATATTATTTATATTTTCTATAAACATTGTGGGCGATGTTATGGAACTTTATGCTATGCGTAGAGAATCGGGTATTTACAAGTACTGCCTAATAGAGGAAGCACTGATTCCGTTACATATGACTTCACCAAGTGCCATATACCAGCTTATCCATTCTTTAATGACGTTAAGAATGGCTGTCACATGTAC